TTAGTTGAAATTAATCATAAAATATTGTGATTGGCACCTATTAATGGCTCAAATTACTTATAGATATATGATATCGTATGATCAATTTTTATGCTCTTTTTAAGTCATAATAAAATTTATTTTATTGTAAAATGCTGAATACAAACAGAAAAGTTTTACTTTTCTATATGTAATACAACAATTATTAAGAAAATGTAATAAAATTTATAATATATTTAGCATATTTTTATCTATTTCTTTGAAATTGATATTTTGCAAACATTAAACAAATTTAAATATATCTAAACAGGCAAACTTTACTTTTAACCTCGATTTTCATATTTGAAACTAAAAATAAAATTTCAAGTTTCGTCGAAATTTATATATTTAGCGACGTACGACAATTTCTTAAATATGTTTTAATAGTTTATTATAAGTTCAATATTTTCAAAAATATATATATACATTATAATGATACATAATTAAAAAATACTACCATATTCGAACAGTAATGTGTGACGATATTATACATTTATACTTAAATACTTTACAAGAAAAATTGACTAGTAGTTTTCAAAACGTATTGAACTTAGCATTTTATTTTATAATATGGATATATTCAAATTACTTATCTTTGACATTGAAAAAAATTGTAAATATTTCATATGTACTCTTTGTAATAAGCTATACATTGTATGAGATAAAGTAAGTGAATTCGAGTATGTAGAGTATGAGATCAAAGGTATTCGAAGCCCGCTATAACATCGCATCTAATAATATTATGAAAGATATCAGCAACGCATTTATCAGCCGGATTCAGAGATAATAGTTGTCTGAATATATATTTTTAAAAGATAAATAAAATATCGTCATATAAATGGTAAAGGATATTTGGAATCTTGAATATAAAACGTAATTGAAAGAAATTATCATTATATTAAATAATTTATGACTTCATTTATTATTTATCTACAGAAAAATATTTATTTTTACATTAAAAAAATCTTATATGTTATTATTAATTAATTAATCAATTGCTTTTTTCAAATATTACGTGCATAAATGTAAGTGGGCAATGAAACAAATTTATAAAAACATAAATTGGGTTTGTACATGTTATATAATGCGTGTGTGTGTATATAATTACATAATTGCATCAACGTTTAGAAAAATTATTAGATTAAAAAACCATTTGTAAATAAATTAAAATTTTCTTAATGTAACAATTAAACTTCGATAGTAGCAAATTTTATAATTCATAAATTTATAGATAAATAATTTGATTTTTCACTCTTTAATATTTTTATTGTTATTTTATTTAAATAGAAAAATTAAATAATTGATTATTCCCTAGTATTTTAAATATAAACATTATTATCCGGTATTATTATTGAACAAACAAAACAGCATATTTTTATATTAATTTAATAAATGGTGTTTTATAAGATCTATGTTTATATTAATTATTATTTTTACATATTTTTTTGTTAAATGATAAATTTTTGCAAAATAATTGTAATTGTGATGTGTATATTAATGAACAATATGGATCTAATGTTCAATTTATTTAAAATAATATATTAAATAATTTTGAATTATATAAATGCATTATTTTAAAATGATATTTTAAAAACATGTATTTAAGTATAAGCTAATTGCAATATTTTTTATTTAAATATATTTTTAAATATCCTAGATATAATCTTAATAATTAAGTGAACAATAATAATTTTATTGTTAACTTATTTTAGTTATATCCACATTTAAATATAATTTTTTTTTATTTAACAAATATTTATCTGTATATTTATAGATATGCACTCATCTTGTACAAATAATTATTTTAACATATCCTATTAACTTACTCGTAATAAAAATATTAAAAATAAATATATTATATTGATTTTAAAAATAGATATATATATTAATATTTTTGTTCAAATTTTTAAATGGTCCTCTAAAAATATTAAAAATTATTATTTATAAATATTTTTTTATATAAATGCAAAAAGAAAATAAAGTGGAATAACATTGCAATTTCGATGCTATATTTCTATATTTATGCATTTTTGTGATCACCTAACTGGCAAAGAATAATTATATGATTATAATGTTTAAATTACATAAATAATTCTAATATATCATCTTACAATGTTAATATATTGTTATAGTTTTGGAATATTCATTCAAAACGAAAGGCTCAACGCAATCCTGAATGCTAAAATACGGATACGGTAAGTATTTTACTTTATTTTTTATTTCTTTTTTGTAAGTATTTTACTTTATTTTTTATTTCTTTTTTGTCTATCTCTCTTTCTCTAATGTATGTATATATCCACCTATATTTTTGTTCTGAAATATTGATAAATTAATATCATTAATAGTAGGGGAGAGTTTTATCGTCCATAGTTCGTACCATACAAATCTTTTATTTTTTATTTCTTTGTTTTTTAGATTTTAATTTTTAATCGCTGATATGTCGAACTAGTTGACTTTCAATGTTAATAAAAAAACACTAATATTTATAGCTAATTTAAAAAAAATTCGATTAGTTAGACACTACCAGAAAAAATACAAATGTGAATGTATGCATTTATAATACATCGATAAACTACGACTTTCTATCATACGCTTATTTTTAAAGTTATGATCCAATCCAATTGCACCTATTTAAGCATTAAAATTTATAAATGGTAACAAATATCTCATTCTCCATAGATTTTATATCTTTATAAGATGTGTTTTAAGTTACATTATCCCAAAGCTCTATAATACAATACAAAATTTCCAATAGATAATTCAAGGCATTTGTATTTTTTTCTTTATGAATCAATTATATCAATCAATAATCAACTATAATTGAGTAATATACAAAATTTCAATTATATTAAATCATAATTATTAATATTATAAAAAAAGATTAAATTTTTCATACTTAACTAATTCAGTCAAATATAAAAACAACATCTTTACATTCTAAAAGTAACTTCTCATAATCATTATAAGTTGTACATTATATTGTACATTCAAAAATGATTCTTTAATCTTCAATAATTATCGACAGTAAAAATTAAATAACTTTGATCAGATTTTTTTAGTTTATACACTAAATTATAAATTGTTAAACCAGTACATAAAAACAAAAAAATAAAAAATATAAGAATAAAATATAAGAAAATGATGTTTCATACCAATTCCAAAATTTCATATTACAACTTATTCTTGATAATATTTTATTTAAAAAAAAAATAACTCGGATTCAATTAATTAATATTTACATTATTAAATTAAAATTTTTTGTCTTTAAAACAACATATTTTACAATGAGTTGCTTAGAGTATAATAGCCAACACTAATTTTTATAAAATTCTTGGTGTTAAAAGAACTTTATTTATAAAATTTAAAAATAGTTTTGTACAAAAGTGAAAAAGTAGAAAAATGGTACATTTTGTAAAAGAAATAAATTTTTTTGTTTATAAATTTCTTTTACAATAAAAATAGAAATTTATTTAACTTTATTTATAATTAAAATAGGTTAATCGTATTAATAATCCTAAATAAATAATTTACAAATATTTCGTTTTTTATCATTTTTATGTGGCGAAACAAGATTGTCAAAAAATAATAAACAATTTCATCTCGAAATCTTTTAAAAACTTTATTAGTCATTTGGATAATGAAATTTGAACTTTATATTTTAACATTGATGTATTGTAGTCCTAAAATATCTTAGAAATTAATACTTATTTTAAAATTGTTTCAAATATAGATTAATTGGGTTCATTAGTCTTTTTCTAATAACTTTCTATAGTTCCACAGTTTTATATTGCCATAAAATTAATGCGTATTTTCCAATATTTCATTATTGATTTTTTCATTTTATTTTTTTTTATAATTAAATAAAAAGTTTAAAATACAAAATAAATAAGTAAATATCTATCAATAAAATAACATTACAAATCTTCATATTTTAAATTTCTGGTAAATAGGTAAATAACAACATTAACGATTATTAATCAAAGAAACTTTATTTTCTGATTTAAAATGACTTTAAGTTTATTCATATAATTAATAAGTAAAATACAAAGTACAATGTTATACATACATTTTTTCTTTTATTTGATATTATTTGTGATTTATTTTAATAATAAAATCTAATTCAGCTTATCGATAGAAATTTTGACAAATAATTAATTATTTTTTAATAAAAATTTTTAAACAAATATTATGTCCGTAAATAAAATCATTTTTATCCGATTACGCATATACTTATAAATTTTGCTAACGATATGTTTAATTCAAATATTAATATTTAATGTATAATATTTAATGTAAGATAATATGAGCATTAAATTAAACCCATTAAAATGATATAGACTAAAACGATTGAAAAACATTTATTGGAATTATGCATTCTCGAAAGAAGAATTTGATTATGTTCAATATTCTTTTATAAAAACTACTATCTATAAAGTTAAATCGTTTGAAATTGTTGTTTTTAATAACTAATAAACTAAAATAAGTATTTTTTATCTTTAACCTTGAAAATTTATATATTTTTTATATAATTTTGTTTTTTTACTAAAAAGTATTTAAAAAGCATGAACACTTATTTGTCTGTAATTAAATACAAGTCTTAATATACATACGCATGTAAGTGTTAAAGCCAGAAAAAGGGAGGGAATTTGTGATATGTCTGAAATGTATGATAAGTTTATTGGAAGTAATAAAAGGAAAAAGAAAATTAATTCCATTTTTGTTATGTCAACTAGATGTTTAAACAATTTATATTTTCCAATAAAAAATAAAATGTAGGCCTATTGAAATTTTATGTTTTGAGTTGTAAAACATGGTATTTATAAATAAACTTTCACAGGTAAAATCAAATAACGTAATTAATGTAGGTTATTAGGCGTAAGAAACAACACTAAATATCTATAAATTGAGTAAAATTAAAATATGGAAAGAGGATAAAATAAGATTTATTAATGTAATTAAGTTAAACAATATATTGCACAAACCTGTCACGAGGATCGATCCACGTCGTTTTCCTTGTGTTATGGTCAATAAAGTACATCTTTCCATCGTAGTCCTGCGCGACATCCCACCCTTCCGGAAGTGGTATCTCCCCATTACGTCTCCTTGGCATATTTCACTGCGCTCTAAATTCATCGAAAGCAACAATCACTTGACCGGCATTTGCACATTCCATAGCGCGTTCACGCATTCCCCTCCACTTGCACGCACCCACACGCCACAATCAAAAAAAGCAGCACTACGGCATTCACGCAGTCACATGCACAGTCGAAGCTCCATTTTGAAAATTTTTTTCAATGTATACGCGATTATTTTAATATATTACAATTCTTTTAGCGAAAAACTTTTATCGCACTCCATGAGAAACTATACTACTATAATGATCGAATTTATCTCATTTATTTTTTATTGTATTGGGATAATCACCGCAGATCTTTCAATCACGTTTATCGAATATACATAATATAAGTATAATCTTAAAAGTAAAGAAATATTAAGCAATTGTTTTCTTCTATTTTTGTAATTTCTTTGCTATATAAATCGTTCAATGTAATTAAATTGCGTATTTTCATTTTTTAATACCACAGTATGAAGTTTTATTTTTGATAATGCATTAACATTATTCGAAATATAATTTATAAATAAATGAATGAAGTAAATTTTAGAATACTTACAACAATTATTTTTATTTCTACATAGAAAATTTTTAATTAACTACAGAATTCAATTGAAAATCTCATTTTATTTATTAAATTAATTTTTTGTTAATTAAATCCATCAAAATTTGACTACATATACGTAAATAGATGATAAATTATTAAATATATTTCAATCAATAAAAAATATTTAATATAAATTAAATATATGTATACTGCATAAATTCTATCAATGTTTTTGAGACAAATTTTTTGTACATTTTATCTGCCAATTAAAAAATTCAGCTCAGTCTGTTCGAATCAATTAATTTTTCTAAATGAACCTAAAAAGATATTTTTTTAATTGCTTTCTAATATTTATTAATGTTAATGAATTATCAGTTACAAAAAGTAAAATAATAAACATTTAATTAAATTTTAGCGAACCGCCAGTATAAATATCTAAATTCCTTATATTTAAATAATAGCTTTTTATGAATATTGCTAAGAATTTATCAATCAATATATAAGAACATAATACGTAAGGTATGTATACAATAATTATATTGATTAAACATTTCGCAATTGATGAATAAAGCAACAACTAATTAGAGTTCCGAATAAATAATTTTGAAAACATTTTTACTTTTTTTTTTGTTTATCCTTGTTTTTTATTTAACAATAAAAGAATGCATGCATGATTAATAAATTCAAATTTTAATATAATCGCTCAATATACATCTTAATCTTAATTCTTATAAAAATTAACGATATTTAAACGGTATAAATTCATTTTTCTCTGTTTTAAATGTAGTGAAATCTTGCTTAATAACAAGAAATATCTTTATTCTATCTTGATAATCATACATTTATAATTTACAAAAGATCAAACAATGATATGAAGTTTTGTTAAATTAAAAAAAAATTTTATTTTCACCGAAACATTGTTATTAGGAATAATATACAGTATAAATGATATGATTTCTGAATAAGAGAGTATAAATTGAGTAGCGATTAAATAAATAATGAATAAAGTTACGTATTGTTATCACGAAGTTTTTTCGAGCAGAATTAACGATAAATGAAAATCGAATAATAAAATCGTCTGAAAAAAATATTTATAAATAAAAATTGGTAAAGAATTGAATTGGATAGATTTGTAATGTCGGAAAAAAATTGGGGGCGATGAAAAAGTAGGCCCAGAAATAGATAGTTGTATGTAAAACTCACGCACTCACGCGAAGGGAGATATACGTGAATTTCTCTCTCTCTCTCGTAAGTACGTCCGCCATCATGAATACCTCATTATCATGAGCGGAGTGACGTCAGAGTCCCCGCCTTCAGATTCCTCTTGAGTGGAATTCCACTGTTAACATGATAGTGAGTATAGTTGCTGCTAGCAAAGCGGCTCTCTAAGTCTCCTGTGATATTCTTTGTACATATATGCAAACGTTTATTCACTCTCTCTCTTTTTTTCTCTTTCTTTTTTCTTCTTTCTTTTTTGATGAATTTTTTACGTATACGTATAGGTAAGAGAAAAAAACTGCTAATGCTATCTCTTCTTGTGTAAACAAGAAAAAGCAGCTGCGAAGTTCATTCTTTTTATCACAAAAAACAATAAATGTTTACCTATGATAAAATAATTAATTATACGTATGTACACGTATTGAGCACTGCACTTAACAAACTTCTTTTTTCTTTAATTCGTTTTTCTCCTTATTTTCGAAAATTTATCAGAACAACACTACACTTCACCACTCAGAAAATGAGTTTCCAGAAAAATAAGAACCTATCCTCCTCAGGTTGATCTTTATTTCGTTTAATTATCTTTCTCGCGCATCCGCGCGTGTCTAGCTCGGCAGTACGATCTATAATGTGTTTTCTTTTTTTATTGTTTTATTATACATTTTTCATAAATTATAGACCTTTTCTTTCAAAATATCTCATGCTCAGGAGTATCCATGACTACGTACCGTGATCATTTCTTTAGTTTGTAATTTTCTTTTAAAAAAACTCGTTGATTTTAGGCTGATAAAAGATGCCTCATAACTCGTTTATTATCGTTATATAGACTGACTTTAAAAAAAAAACAGGTAAAATTTCGAGAGAGCAAAGAAAGAAACTGGTTTCACATTGCTTAACACAGTCGTACAGTTTCCTTTTTAACGACACTTTCGCACGGAATTCTTAAGCTCTTTCGTTCCTTCTCAAGCTACAAAAGATGAAAATCATAAAAAATAACCGAAAAAGCACACTTACGAAATTTTTGACTTAACAATTCTACCGCAGCGAGTTTCTATATTTAAACATGCCCGCCTCTTTCGACTGTCTCGAACTTGCCTTACCGAGCGAGTGAGTTTCACGCGTGTATTATCGTGGAGACACCTTAACGCGCGTCATCTCCGCCGTTCCCATTCGGCACTTTGTAGGGCTTGTAAATCCAAGAACTGAGAGTTTCATTTATTATGTGAGATAGTAGTGGCTTTCTTTATCACCTCCCTCTCTTACTCTCGGTTTATCTTTCTCTTATTACGTTATGAAAAGTTTAATACTGAAGCGATATTTGTTCGAGGCGATATCCTACCAGTGATGCTAATTTTCGTCGGCAAATTAGTCACAACTACCATCGAGCGTATATGGCTGCTTTTAAACCTTACGCACTAAAAATATCTGCATACACTCAGATATTAACAAAAAAATCAAAGTTTAGAAATATGAAGTGTTTCGTTCCGTTATCACTTTCACGCAATTTGTTTCCCGTACTACTTGCTACCGCTACTGACTGCTACTGAGCCTTCGTGTGCTGCTGCTGCTGTCGCTGCCTCCGTCATTTTTCTCTCTCTTCCTCTCTCACAATTCCTTCTCGCTCTCGCGCGCGCATTATACGCAAAAGGCATTAAACGCGTTACGACTAGCCATACAGCACATACTTTTTATCCCGTGAATCGAAGGGAACGCATTTCTCCTGCGTATACATAGTATACTTACACACCCTTCGTCTTCCACGTTTGCGCATGCGCGTAATTTAGGCTTGCTGGTCAGGTTGTACGAGCACCTTCTTTCAAGTGCGTGTCTTCGTGTTTTCTTTTCTTCTTTTTAGGTTAGGTGCTGCTTGAATTCTCAGTGGTGGGGACAGAGTTTGCGTGTGCGCTTTCACATTCAACTTTTACTAAATGAAAGATGATAGCTATTTGCCAGAATGCACTCTTTTTATGTTATGTGACTCTCGAGGTTTTAATTCTTTCTCTCATTTTTTATTGTTATGTATATATAATCTGTGACCGAACTTTATAAGTATTGCAGTATTTGCACTGTCGAGTTTGCTGAAACACGCTTTAAAGGAAGAGAATCAGACAAAAAGAATGACAGAAATACAACGAGAAAGGGAGCGAAGGGCAATCGATGAAAAAGCCCAGCGCATATTTACCGCGAAACGAACAAATGGCGCCACCTGTTCATATTTTTAAAGAGGTGTTTCTAGGCTAACGGTTTTAATAATTAAGATGACAAGGGAAATGAGAATGAGTTGGAAAAGGATGAAAAGACATACCGGAAACACTAAACTGCGTCTAATGTATCAGTAAATTATTGTGCCTAACTATAGAGAGGTGTAGAAATGCACAGGCGACAGTTCATAAATACAATTCTAATTATTATATCTCGTGAATGTCATTAAATACATAAATTTTAATTATGAAAATTGATAATTGGATCATTCTTGTTTTGTTACAATTATAATAATTATGTTGAATGAAATGATTTGAACGAAATGTCAAATCAGAATATAAGATTGTTTTTACTACAAGTTGTCGGTTTCAACTCAAATACGTATAGAAAATATATAGTAATAAATAACTTCAGAAACTTTTTAATTTATTTAATAAGGTGAAAAATTAAGAAATCTTTACTTAAAAAGCCTGTACTAAAATTATAAATTTTAATTTATCATCTACAAGTAATAATTTTATAAAAAAGATATGTAAATTTTTATTCTTCAATTATATTTATTTATTAATGATTTATTCATTTATTAATGTTATTTTGTAGAAAAGTATGAAAAAATTGACATTGTTTTTCAACATCTTAATATTTTTAAATATATTTGGTTGACTTATACAGGTACAAATTTGAATAAAAAAGATATATATTAAATAAGTATCTACAACAAAACTAAATGTATACATAAAAAAAAGGTTGCATTATTTGTTAAATTCTCTAAAAAAACCTAATTTTTCTGTTATTAATTAATAATTTATTTAATTTTTAATCATTTAATTTTCTCGAATTTTTCAGTGAAATTAAGTTTGGAATAAAATTTTTGTTATTTATATAATTTATTATTTATTTAAATAATTATAAATTTTAGGTTTTAATGCTTCTAATTTTTCTTTATGATTTCCTAGTTAAAAACTTGCAATTTAAATAATGTTTTTTTATGAGATATGTATTATTTAGATATTTTCATATTAAATTTTTGTAATTAAAAAGAAATCCAATAGTCAACAAAACTTAAATTATACAATGTTCATTTAAATTTAGCTTATACTAAAAATAGTTTATATAAATTAATTTTAATCAAATTATAATTGGACTGTAATAAAATAATTTAATTAATTAAATGAGATTTAATGTTTCTTAGTTGCTTCAGTTCATACACTAATAGATAATTTTGGATATTTGAAACATTTTTAAATTGTTATAATATAAAATTGTTATCGATATTTATTGTTAGAATCAAAAATAAAACTTATTGAAATAAATATAAAAATAGTATAAAAATTTATATTCATTCTGCAATTTTTTTATTTCTTCATTTAAAAAAGTTTGTATAATTTATTCATTATTTAAATAAAAATATGTTATTATACCTATTGCAAATAAACATAAAATCAATTTCCTTATTAATAAAATTATTTTGCTTGATCAATTTATTTACAAACTTAAATTGATTAGTAATAAGGAATTTTTTAAATAAGTAAATACTTGTGAGTCTTAATAAAAATTTTATTTAAAAACTCATTAGTAATTTTCTGATTCATATTATTATCAGGTGAATATAATCTTCAAGCGATCTTTTTCAAGAATGATTATAAATCGTTTGCATTTTGGTGTAATTTTGTATCTGTTACAGTGCATATTGTATAATGAAATTGAAAGAATTTCAGGAATAAAGCTATTTGTTATGATTACTTTAGGATCACAAAATATAAATTTGAACGCTAATAGTTCAAACGCAAGAATTTTGGTTTACTTATGACACTATACTAATTGAAATATTTTTATTAATGTGTATGTCACAATTATTTTTAATTTTTTATATTGTATTTCAAAACTTAGCTTTCTTGAAAAGAATTCAAGAATATATATTATTCCAATTCAGTTGCATAATCGCGAAGATTAATTACTTTGTTGGCATTCAATTTACTAATATACAGTTGAAATTTTAATATTACTTTGTACTTTATTTAATTTAGAAATTATTCGAAATAGATTCATAAAAATGTATAGCTTTGGTTTAATATTAAATTTGTGTGAAATTTAAAAATATAAATAAATAAAACCATAATTAAATTAATACACATCTTTTCATTTACAGTATGTATATAATTATATATTAAAAAAAGGATTTCAAAATTAATAAAAATACATTTTAACAGTACAAACAAAAAATCTTTACATAAAAATAAAAAGTTTTTATGGATCTAAATTTTTTACATAAACATATTAATAGTGTCATATTTCAGTAAAAATATAAAATAATAGTAACTATTCACATAGGTAAATAAATTAAAAATATATCGTGAAAGACTCACCATTCTTTAATGTCCAAATTTCTATTAAAATAAGTTTTAATAGGTAAAGAAAATCAATATAATTATATGAATAATGTTTTTACTTAATATAATACTAATAAATACTTATTTTTATATTATTTCTTTATTTTATTAATATTGGTAAAATTTATTTATTTTTATTATTTATTTATTATTAAATATGTTAATGTATTATAACATGTACAAGTAACCCTATATTTTACACAGTAATGATTGGTGGTACAAGAGAAAATATCAAATTATTTACGATAATTTTATAGAATTTTAATAATGATAGGTGATATCAGTTTTTAGTATATAAACGTCATTTTAAATTTTATATAGTCATTAAGAATATAATATAATACTAAATGTTCCTCTTTATACATCAACAACGGTAGGTTCATATTTAATTTAATGGTATCATTGCGTAAGTATATGTACAACAAAAAGTTTTTAGTTAAAATCTTAGTATACGAATCTATTTAATAAATAAAAAATATAAATAGAAATAGACATATAAAAATTCTTTTCATAATTCTTGAGATTATTGTTAGTTTTCGTTTGAATGTTAAATACATAAAAGAATTATTTTTTTAACATTTTTAGATTTATGAATTGTATTGAATTACGATTTTAATTCTATTCAATGTAAATTTTTTAAGGTAAGTTATTTTCTTCACAGCATTTTTACCAATTTTTACTAGGATAGGATCAATCTAAGAATAATGTTTCTAATAACTGCAGATACTGTGCATTTAGGTAATTCTAATGTATGCTCATAAAATTTTCATTTAATTTGTGTTACTTAAGAAGTTGATCTTGCTTAACATGTTGATGCATATATAGAATATTTACCTATATTCAATATTTATTTTTATTATCAATAAATTATATAAGATTTTTACGGCCTCTTTAAAATGAAATATTAACGATGTAGTTGAGAATAATTAATAGAGAACCTAATATCAAACAAATTTTTAAAATTGATCAACGAATTGATATATATATATATATATATATATAAATTAACATATACTAAAGCAATTAAATCACTTTGAATTAATTAACAAAGATGAATCTGGATATTACATGTGTTAACGAAAAAATTTGAAGTTTTCTACTTATACTGCAAAACATCGACTCATTTTTTTTATTTCATTACTCATTTTATATTAGATTCTTATAGACGATAAAAAGAGACTGTACATAATAATATTAAACTTAGTAGGTCACGGTATAAATGCAAAAGATAATAAATTATGAGGTAGAGTGGTAATCATTTACTACGAATTGATTATTAAAGATTTTTCATAATACGATTTTCTAATATTCAAATACTCTTTATAAATTTGATTTTTTTCAAAAAATAAAATATCAATGTATTTGTCTTTCACGTTATAAATTAATCTACCTAAATTTTAATGATATTTAAATAAAACATTAAGATATTTGAATTTTTTGTTACAAAATAATCTAAGTAAATGTTAATAAAATAACATTAAACTATAAATATTTTACACTATTTAAATTTTTAATACATCAATGATATTCAGCGTTGCAGTATTTGTTTTTGGCTGATGAATCCTCACAACAATGAACCTACATAACTGCATACGACGCAATACTTCGTAAGATTTTGTTGATGCTCTATAACCCCGTCTACAATAATAAGCTAAGATACATCGAACATATTGGAAATGTCAATAAAGTACGAAAGTTTAATTAACTCTCCCTTAAACAAATATGTACTTTTCAATAATTAAGCAATTGCACGTACACGCAATTTGTTTTTAATGCTATTGAATTAATTTTGTTTTTAGTGTGACGGATCAAATTATTCTACTAGCATAAAGAGTAGTTTTTTTAATAATAAATGTAGTATATTTGAAATAATATTATCAAGTGTTATTTGAAAATCAGTTTAAACTTTAATTTCTTCAAGGAAAGCATTATTAATTGAATGCGTTTAATTGAATATGTATGATAATATAAATTCATAATAATGAATATATGTTAAACATACGTTCGTAATATACAATTGTAATACGTAAAAAATTTGTTAATTAACACTTAACTATTTAAATTTAAAAAACTTGTATTTAATTCAATAAAATACTTCTGGTATAGCTTTTATTTTAAATATATAAAAAAATATTCTAAAATTCTATTTTCTTATGTAAAACATAATATATATGTACGAATTAGTAAATTTTTATGCAAACTTATAAATATAAATTTCTTATGTTTTTTGAGTTTTAAGACGATATTAAAACATAAATTTGAAAAATTTAATATATTTAAAAAGTTTTAACTATTTAATAAAAATAATTTTATTTATTAATAAAAATAAAATATTAATATTTTTCACAACGAAGGAATTCTTAATTTTCTTCAATTTCTTCAATTTGACGAATATTTATGTGTAGATGGCGAAATTGTAGAACTCTAGTCGCTGTGAATATGTGTATGTTGCTCTATTGAAATAATTCTGTATTACGCTCTTGCAAATAAATACGTGTATTTTGCCTTATTTACATGCAGCTATTTTATTTATTGTTCTGTATGATTTTATAATGTTTATGAACCACATGATTGAATTCGAAATATGGATAATGTAATACAACTGCGCATATGATGTTAAAACTTCTATTTTTGAGCATGAAAAAGATACGAGATACTATCAAGTACGTAGGCAGCTCTACATTTCTACGGCTACGTCAGCATACATGAAATATACGAATGAAGATATCTATTACAACCAGCTAATAAAATAAAGAGGCCATAAGATAATAAAGATATTTATTGTAGATGTATCATTCGATGAATTCTTAAGGAAAGTCGTACGTATAATGTATTCGATATTTTAATAATTTACTAATAGGTAAGGAAAAATCTTATCGAAAATTATTGCTTCAAAATAACATTTCAATTTATTTATTTTTAATAACAATAAATAATAATAAATATAATTGCATAAACACGATTGAATTCCTATCAAGATAAAAAAATTTTTATTTTTATTTAATATAAGTGTATATAAATATTAAAATCTTTTAATAATTAATTAATTATATTAGTATATATTAACTTATTTGAAAATATTAAAGAATGCTTTATTATTTACATATATAGATTATTTTTATTCCTAATATGGCAACATCTGAAAGTGATGATTTTGAAAGTGCTGATGAAGAACTAAATGCTAGAACTGAACAAACTAATAAATGTAAGAAATATACATCTATAGGTTCAGATAGTGATGATGATTTAGATTATATACCAGTACAATATAATAATGCAGTAAGAGGATCTAACAAAGAGGAGCATAAAATTTCATCTTACCGAAAGAACAATTCAATTTATAAAGTTAATGATCTGGCAGGTTAGAAAATCTTGTGAAACTTTAATAATTTTACTTATAATCATTTATATTAATGTTTTAATTTCATAGCTGACATAAAAGCAGAATCAAAGAGTGTTTCTGATTTTAAAATATCTCAAAATAATATCGAAATTACCAAAAATAAAGAAAAATCAAATAATATAAATTTAAATAGTAAAATTATTTTAGAGTGTGAAAATAATTTTTGTCAATCGAATAAAGATTCAAATACAAATAAATTAAAGGTCATTTCAATTCAACAAGATAGGCCTCAAAGACAGCAAAAAATAAGAGAAACTCAATTATTAGGCGTTATGAAAATAGGTACAGACAAAATTGACAAACTACCAGATTTAGAAATAACAAGCAAGACTACAAGTAGGGAATTTAATAAAAGCAAACTAATGAATGAATCAAGCATGAAATCATATGAAAATAAATTAAAAAATAAAATGAAAAATGAAGCACCAGTAAATGTACCCGAAGAATTGATGTCCAATTTAAAATTTAAAGACATTTTTCATCCAGATGGTTGGGAAAGTTTAAAGAATGATATTGAAATTCCAGATCTTTCAGATGATGTATACCATCCTATAGATAAACTTTCTTCTAGTAATATAGAACAAGACAACTCTAACGTCAGTTGGAGTAAATGGGGAAATTGGGGCATGACTTCATTATTTAATACTGCTACTGTTGGAGTATCAACATTGACTAGTCATGTTAGCCATGGATTGTCATTCTTAGAAGAAACAATGGGAGTTACAGATCATATAAATTTGGTTAAATCAAAAAATCATTTGAAAGAGAAATTGCAATTTAATGGTATATAAATTTATATTTATTTGTATTTAATTAAATTTTTTGCTTTACTGTATATATATATATATATATATATATATATATATATATATATAAATTTATAAATGAATTTTAAATATTTTAATTTATTACATTATGATTAAAAGTGAATTATGAAAAAAATAGAACAAATATAAAGCTATGTTTATCAATATTAAAATACAAATTGTATATAAATATTGTCTTTAAATTAGATTCTTATAAAATCAATAAAGTATTATTTAATTATTTTATTACAATATAAATGCAAGTATACTTTTTGTTATTTTTAATAATATTTAATAATGAATAAGATATTTTTTATGTAACAATTGCTTAGAAGAAAAGACTGAAGAACTAAAAGAAAATGTGCCTTCAACTTTAACCTCATCATTTGTTTTTGGTAATTTTGTATCGAGTGTGTCATCTATCACAAAATTAGTAGAATCTACTAGCACAAAGGTAATTTCTAGTGGACTCGATACCCTTGAGACAATAGGAAAGAAGACTATGGAAGTTTTGCAAGAAGGCGATCCTGGTTTTAAAAAAAAACGAGCATTATTCTTGAATGATAATGAAAAACCTATTCTCTCTCAAATCCTTGAAGAAGCTAAAGAAAAAACAGATATTGAAGAAAAATCTGTAGAAGAACAGCGGCTAACAACAAAAAATCATTTTGAAAGCATTTTTGAAGATTATCAAGGATTAATGCATTTAGAGGCTTTAGAAATACTATCTAAACAGTGTAATATGAAAATTCAACAGCAATTAATTAATCTTGATGGTAGTGAATTAACATCCATGCAGGAAACATTAGACGAAGTTAAAGATTTGTGTGATCTTGGAGATGAAGAAGATGAAAATGATGAACAAGATAAAAAAGATTTGAAAGAAAAGCTGCAAGTGGCTTGTAAAGATTTAGATATTTCTATAACATACGATAAACTTGTAGATGTAAGTTTTACAAAATAAAAAAATTATTTATAATGAATATACTTAAAATATATAAAGAATATATTTTCGAAAAAATTTCACTTAGTATTAATTTGGAAATAAAATACTTCATTATCTTATTTTGTAGCAATATATAACTTTATACTTTAAACAGTTTTTTAGAATACAATTTTTTTTAAATATTATGTTTTAGTTATTAAAATTGATATTATTTAAACAATTTTAAATATGCAATTAATAAACATTTAGAAATTAATTAAATTATTGTTTATTTAGATTTCCAATGATGTAAAGCTTAAATTTTCACAAGAAAATTCAAAAAATATGTTATTCAGAGAAGTTTTTCAAGAAGCAATATTATCTTTAGCCAAATTTACAGGATATTCTATTGAAAGATTTCATAAAACGGCAGAACTTCTTTTAATCAAGAAACACAGAAGTACTGTCAATGAAGCTGATTGTTTAATTCAGTTAACAAACATTTTATCATCTCAAATTTGTTTTATAGCCAATATTCATTGCTATTATTTAAGTAACAATTATAAAAATGAGACAAATAAAAATAATATTCAGGCAGTTCTTAATAAAATTTCTTTGGAAGTAAGTATTTCCATAAATTTCATAAATTTACCTTTTTTATTTTTATTGCTATACCTGTATTTTTTAGGCAACTAATGCAAGTTCATACATCCAAGAAGCATTTAAATTATTAATCCCAATTTTACAAGTTGGTGCAATCTAAAAAATGGTTAATTATTATATAATTATATAAAAATTTATAACTTTAACTACAAATTTATGAAGATCAGTATCTATGAGAAATAAATTATTTTAATAAATATAATTAGTTTTATACATAAAATATTTAATGAAATGTAAGGTTTAGTTTAACTATAGTGTAATATTAATATGTTTAGAAGTAAATGAATAATTTATCTATTTTTTAAATATTTTAGCCTAAGGCAACAAAAACATGAAAAATCAGTGAAAATTAGAATTCTGTTATGTAATAGACTTTAAAAATAATTGTGTTTTTCATTAAAAATTAAAATATGCTAATATATTAATAGATTATCAATACAAAATATAATAAATTCCAAGAATAATAATACAATTATAAAATCAATAGTTTAATTAAAGAAAATTTTAATTTTAAAAATTCTATTTTCTTAATCATTTATATTTATTTTTTCAATTATTTCAATTATACAATCGATTATATATTTTTTTTCCTTCTGAATAAAATTTACATTTCGATTAATTGACAATATATCATTTTTATTGTTATTGACTAAAAATGCATTGTATTTTTAATTAAAAACTGTTTTTTATTAGAGATGTAGCCTTTTAATTTCTATTTTTTCTTTAACTTTATTGTTTATATTAGTATTGTGTGAACTTACAAGTTTGATTTATTTGTAATATGTAAAACAATAAATATATTTGTTTATATTGTATCGTAGATACAGAATGTAGATGTCATACATGTTTATTTAAGTAGAAAGGCATGAAACAAAAAGATTTTTAAATATTTAGTATTTGATATAAGCATAAATATTTAATGTGATAATATATTTTAAGAAATGTTTTAAAAAGAATGTATTTTATTCTTTCAGTGTCTCATTTTTAGATAAATGCATTTTTAAAAGGGTAATATGTAAAATATTATTAAAATTAAATTAATATTTTTAAAATAAATTTATCAAATTACTAAAAATACGTTATTTGGACTGCATATCATATTCAATAGAAAGATTATTGGATCTTGTTAATTCAAAGGTGTACACCTAATAAGATTAATGATTTTTGTACTTTGTATCATATATAAATAAATATTTTTGTTTACAATATGTAACCAGAAAAAAATTTTGAAGTTTGCTTTATATATAGATTAATAATTTATATAAGTGTATCTACATTATTTATTTGACGTATGAAGTACAATTTTAATTGTTGATAGTTTGTAAGTTGAAGATCAAAAATAAATCAAAACAATATTACTTCCATTAAGATTTGTTTTATTATTTTTACTTTGAATATAATTTATATGATATAAATATTACAAATAATTATAAGATTTTAAATTGTTTTAAAATTCTTTAATTATTTTACATTTTATACGTTAACATACAATTAGTGTTTGCCTCTTTTACTACCTACAGGTGGTTTTTGCAACTGAAAATTTGAATTTCCATTCGTGGATGACAGAGGTACCGTGAGATTATTTGGTGAATTAAAATTTAAACCAATTGTTGGAGGTTTCATCGTACTTACTGAAAGATGACTAGGTGTCGAAGTAACATTTCCCCAAACTGTTAACAAAAATAAAATACAAATTTAAATGAAATTAACTTCTGAATATTTCCATTTTTATATTACCAACAAATTTCTTTAAAAATCAAGGAGATGTAAGGGTCACCAGAAATCTATTTTGTCAATACTTGATTTTTAAATATATACCAATTTTTATATAAATTTGTTTAAGTTTTATAAGCAATATTTTCACTTTATCATTTTAAAAATTTATAAAAGCAATAGGAACAAATAAATTAAAGAATTCAATTAGTAATTTTAAATTTACAATTTGTACAAATAAAATTATTTTAAAAATGACACTTAGGATATATTTAATAGTTATATTACCGCAATAAAAAATGTATTAACAACTAAGTATATTAAAATACATTAAAAATATTTTATCACGATCTGTAAAATATGCAATACAATCTTCTTTTTGTTTCATATATAGATAACACTTACAATCTTCTTTGATGGTTTATGTTTTTAACATTATTATTTTAATGTAATTATAATATTTTCTTATTGTTAATGCACTATTGTATGTATTAAAGCATGAAAGCAGTGATTATTTTAAAGTTAAGTTATTTGATAATTAAGTAAATAATTTTATTTATTATTATTTTAGTAGATAATTATAACGATCCTAAAAATGAGAATATAAAATACAAGCAAGCAAAATAAATTTTCAGTACCTCGATAAAAAAATAGAAACAGCCTAATTTTTTCCTGAAAAGGTAAGAGAAGAATTGTAAAATAATTTATTGTTTTTAATTGATGTTATATACTTTTAATAAAAATAAAATTCAGTAATAAGCAAAGTAAATGTTACTCATATAAGAATTAGAAGCAAAATAAAATACAAATGTATTTTACACAATTTATATACAAAATTTTTTATAGAATGTATATCTATATAGAAGAAACTGACAAGAAAATAGATATGGATCCTTGTCAGACCTAAATATTAAATTTTATATGGTATACTAATAAAAAATTTTATATTATAGGTTGAGATGCATTTATTGATTAAATTATTTAAATATAATTATTGATTTTTACCTAATGCATTTGGAGTACCATAATTAGATGTTTGAGTCGAATTCAAATTTGTAGTAGATAAAAAGCCTCGATTTTCTAAATAAGAAAATACAGTATATATATTTGTACATATTTATGAGTATTTACATATAAATCATTTTGACCTTATATTTATAAATTTAATACCTTAAGAAGATATGTATAATAATAAGGCTAGTATATACCTATATAAAGATTTGATGTACCAAATTTATTAACAGATAATTATAATATAAAGATATTTTTAAAAACTATTTAACTTAATTTGAAAAACAAAAATAGAGTATTTCATATTTATATTGCAAATACCTGGACCAAATGGCGTTGGACCACTTGTAATTTTTCCTATATTATTTCTACAAGATTTTTCATTTGACTTGGTATCTTCAAAAACATTTGTGTTGTCTTTTAAAACATACTTTCTAAAATTTAAATATTGCTCCTTTTGTTGTTGTACTTTTGAGTGCACCCCTTGAAGTCTTCCAGCAACTGCTACTAGAGATTCATGTAATTTATTCATTGCCATTGTTAATTCTATAATAATAAAAATAGTGTTAATATTATAATTACTCACTTATATAATATACATAACTATATATGTTAAATGTCTTATTGATTAATAGTTCTGTTAACATTTTGTTTTAAATAAAATAATCATATTATAATAACAAATAAATAATAACATCACTATAATATACATTAATTTCTTAAAATTAACTATTAACAATAACAGAATTTATCATTTAAATATTAATCTATATTTTGTTAAATAATGGACATTATTTTTTTATCAAGAAATTGAAACTTGATAATAAATTTACATAAAAACTATTAAACTTAAAAAAAAATACTTGAATGCATGAAACTCTTATTATAATATGTTATTAATACCTTGAGGAGTTAATGTTTTAGGAGTCAGCATTGTTTGTATGTGTTTTTCAGTTGCTTCAATTTGTGATTTAAATAGCATTAAATCATGCTCGAAATTTCCTGAAAGTTCCATAAAAAATAAAAGTGGTACATTATTTTCATACTGAAGTCCTGTAGGTGTATCATGTGTTCTTTGTGCTATTTCAGCATTCTGTAGTGCTTTAGCTGTATCTTGTTTTAATTTATCAGCTAATGATCGATCTCTTTGAACGGAACCAGCTAATGTAGTAAGAATTTCCATCAGAGAAATTGTATCTTCTGAACATCTATTTAGCGGTCTTGCTGATCCTCTAGCTATATCTGAGCTCAAGACTTTTTGTGTTTTAACAAACTCCCTAAAAATTAAACAAACTTCTTGTTTGTATATTAAAATTTTATATATTAAAATAGAATTAATTGAATATTTTTAAAGTTTAAAATGAAGATTGAGAATTTTTAAAAAAAATTTAATAATGTATAAAATGTGGTGAAATTATAAATGAACTTACTTAAAACCATCGATTGTTTGCATTAGTTCATTTGGTAACAAGTTTTCTTTAGCAGTTGTAGGACTAGTGCTACCTTGTGTAAGACCCTTATTACTAATTGACACATCTAATCCACCAAGTCCATGATTAACTATCACAGCTACAGTAGTAGCTGCTGTTGTTGTTGAGAGTTTTGTTCCAAAAAGTCCACTTGTACTTGAATTTAGTAATGAAGCTGTTAAAACAATATTTTTAATATAAATTGTCATAAATTTTTGTTATAAAATAATATTTAAATATAATTTTCTTAAATGAAATTTATATTACACAAAAAATAGAATTTAGAAATTGATTGTTTCTATAATATATATGTTATATGCAAACAAAATAGATTAATCTAAAAATATCATTGTATTAAGTTACATTATTTTAGTTACAAAATTTATTTAAAATACTACTAAGTTATATAAATTTAAATTTTAAACTGATAATCAAATATTATGAATTAATATAACATAATTAATTTTATAGCCATTGCATTTTAGTTTCAATATTATAGTGCAATTTATACTGTTTTTATTTAAATACAAATACTTTTTAATATACATAGATCTTACAAACGCTTGAAGTAGTAGTAATGCCACCAAAATTCCAACTTGAACTATTAGAAAGGGATGTTGCAGTAGTTGTTATAAACGACAAACTTCCAGTAGTTGGAACAGTGCCAAAATTTAAGCTTCCTGTAGTAGCAGTAGTCGTACCAAATGATAAACCTGTAGTTATCGGTGTACCAAATGTAAGATTTCCATTCGTTTGACCTCCACTTATTAAATTTGTTCCAGTTGTTGAACCTCCAGTAGTTATAAGACTTTCAGTTGTAGTTGGAATTCCAAAAGTTAAACCAGTAGATTTAACTGTTGGGGTACCAAATGTCAGTCCAGTTGATTGAATTAATGGAGGTTTATGATTTGTTTCTAATTGAATTGAATGAGTTTGAATTGTATTACTTTGAAAAAGATTATTACCAGAAGTTAATGTATTTCCTCCCAAAGTTAAAACGATAGGCTGACTAGTTTGTGAAGTAACTGCAGTATTACCAAAATTAAAATTTAATGTTGAAGTCCCTATTTGGGTTGATGGTTGTGCTATTGTTGAAGATGAAACTAAAGTACCAAATGTTGCAGTGCCAGTACTAAAACTTGGAGCTGTTTGTCTAAAATGATATTTATAATTAAGAATTTTGTTATAATTGAGTACCTCCTTTTAAATAAATTGAGACTGAAATATTACAATATTCAATATACAATATATAATGTAATAAACAAATTAAATATTTGAAAAATGTTAGGTTAAATTTTTAAATTATAGTTACATTGATGCAGGGAATCCAAAACTTTGCGTGGCTCCCGTTGTAATAGGAGCACCAAAAGTAAATTTAGACATTTTATATAAGTAAGAAATTTTGTATGTATCAATTTTATAGTTATAAAAATAAAAAGTTGTTAATAATGGAAAAGGACATTCCTGTAACTTGAGGCCACAATCGAAAGTACCTACAAACAAGCTTTATGAAAATGAAAATTAGAAAATAAGAACGATGGAAACAAGAACTAAATGAGAATGAAAAAATATGCTGTTTAAATGCTTTTTTAAAGGGTATTTTAAAAAACGAGTTTAATTTAAATTAATATTGAAAAAGTATTGAGTACCAAACAAATATATAAAAATTTTGTAATTTATTGTGAACCTTAATAATTTTATGTTCAAATAAAATTGTTTATATAATAACCAATTACAAAACGAAACTTTTTTAAAAACTCTAAATATAAATGTTATTTTGTATTAGATTATTAATTAGATTATTTTAACATTTTTAATTATTAAATATTTTAAGTATGTCAAATAATACACGAATAAATATTAAAAACATATTCATATCATTTTTCTGAAATAGGTCAGTTTTTACTCGCTAATTTAAAGATGTATGTACTACTCTAAAAAAAATAAGCATCTATAAATATTATTTAAAAGAACCATCGATGCACTTGATTTTTCTCTCGTTGAATATAGGATAACAGTTATAATTTTTTCATTAAAGACAATTGTAATTAATAAATATTTATTTATTTATTGCATATTAATAATTTACTTTACTAAATGACAAAAGCATCGACTAAGTTATTATAACGGTTAGGCAAGAAATTGTTCGAAGAACAAACATTAGTTTTAAATTCTAAATATTTTTTAATTGACTATGGAAAAAAAAAACTAAAAAAGTCAAATTTGTCAGATTTCCATATGATTGATATATCCCAGTTTTTTCAATTGAAAAAATATCTGAAAATGAAAAATATCTTACATTGATGCCGTTAACAAAAAATTTTTATTATATGACAAAATTATATGACAAAAAGTGTGAAACTAAATATAATTATTGAATATTTTGAACTATTGTTTAAAATTGTTTAAATCTCGAGTGTTTTTTAAAATACAAAAATTTATATTTAATATATATTGGATAAAAAATAATGTATAGATTTAATATATATCTTAGTAAATAATTAAAGTTATAAGAATTTCATTATAAATGTTATACACATTGCATTTTTCGGGCTAAATACATAGCAGAATAGCTATACATAATATCAAGTATTAATCGTAATTTAGCATAAAGCATCAAGAAGAAAACATAATTATAAAATCATTAACTAAGAAAAAAATAATCAAAATATGAATAAATATTTGTTTACTTTAAAGGATTTTTTCGAAAATAAATGTAAATTTTTCCAAGTTACTTATATGGATAATAAATACATTGTATACAAGATGTTAAAGATTACTAATTAAAAATATATCAAATTGTAAAAAATTGCGTTTATAACTTCTTATATTTTGCAAATTGTTTTATTTGAAAATTTACTTGAAAAGAAATTTCTAGTATTAGAAATAATTAATGTTTAACAATTAAAAAATATGTATATTCATAAACTTCATTCGAAAAAAGCAGTCTTTAAGACAGATATTCGTAATTACGTGTTTTTATACTAATTTTTATTAAGGAAAGAAAAACTGTTTTTTAAAATTTATTTATAATAAAATCAATAGTTAAAATTCACTAGTTAATAATCACTAGTTAAAATATTCTGCAATTTGTTCCATAATTATTTAAATTATAAAGTAAAGAAATAATAATAGTAAATTTATTGATTTTAGGTTAGAAGCTTTACAAATGTCAAGCGCAAGTCATATGTTAAAATACAAATAAAAATACAAAAAGTCAATGCATTGGAAATTGATCTATAATAAATTTTTTTTTTAATTATTTAGATAGTCACTCAAATTACTTAAAACTTTTACGAAGAAGTTATATCACAAGTTATGAAGACCGCAGTAATTTGAATTACTTTTAGCACAAATTTGGCGCGTTTATAATATGCTTTTATTGTCGAGTCGGCATCTACGCTTCGTATCGCTAAACCTATTGTACATAGGCTGAGTCAAGCCTTCGCGTCAAAACACAAAAGACGGCTTACTATCTTCGGAATGTGGATCGTACTCGTGTCTTTAGGTATAGCATGATCGAATAAGGTTTTTTTCGTCTAAGATCGCAATTGTGCTTTGTAGCACATATGCGGTTATCAGGAACGAACATTAGCTACATCAGTATCGTGAGTTATTTTATATTGTTGAAAAAAAGAAGGAAGCTGAAGAACAATACAATGATGCATTGAGCATATTATTTATATTGCATATTGCATGAGTTTTCATACATGAAGATTATGTGTGCGTCAATATAACCTATATCTTAATATTGGCTACTTTACAGCTAAGTAAGTTTTTATATTTTGTTTTCCGGTATTTTCTTAAGGATGTTATACACTATTATTTATTTTTGACAAAAGTGAGACGAAGATTGGCTTCCAAATTAAATGGTCCATTAATATTAGGTTTTTTTCGTCCTTTTAATTTGATTATTCACACAAAGAGTATAGACTATAGTTGACAATTCTTTTCATTATTACTATGAATTTTATTTGACATCACAAACCTATATAAAATGAAAATTTCTAAGAACTAAATAGAATTTTGTTCTTAAATAAATAAATTTAAATTTATATTGTAAATATTAATATGTATTGTGTATGATTATATATTATATTAATGGGATCAAATTTTGGATTTTTATTTATTTTTATTTATTGTTAATTGTGGCTTTATATATTTTCAACATTTAAACGATTAATATAAATTATATTTTTAATATTTAACAATACATTATTAATTAAACTTTTTTTTTAAGTAAATAAAATAGTATTTTATTTAATTGTTTTCAGAAACTGTATCAATGGTAAATATACCACTATTGACCATGGATGATTATGGGCTATTAGAACCAACAGATGTTGGCACTATGACTATAGATTATGATCCAAAAGATGAATTCAAAAGACGAATAAATCGTTGGGATCAAGACGAGGTTGTATGTATGCTGAATTTAATAAAGGAAAATAATTTTGTTAGCAGATATTCTGTTACTAAGATGTCTAGTCTTTTGAGCCAATTGATGCTCAAAAAAGGTTGGAATCGAACTGATAGACAGGTACATCAAAAACTAACAACTATGAGAAAGAATTTTTTAACTTGTGAAAGACAAAAATTAATAAATGGTACCTTAAAAGAATGTCCTTTCTTTAAAGAACTTCGTGAAATCTATAGAGATGTAAATAATTCTAATGGTATTGATTCAGAAGACTATGATACAAGTAGTCAGGATGAGTGTTTGATAAAATTTCCAAATGATCCAGTAGACTGGAATAAAGGGGAAATTCAAAAAATGCTTAATATAATCAAATCTATGAAATTGAAAAACGAACTTACACTTACGTTTTTTTCTCCAGTGGCTGTCAGAATGATTGCAGAAGCCATGCAAAATGCTAGCTTTGACAGAAGTATAGAACAAGTAAAAAATGCACTGATTAATTTAAGGACCATGTACATAGATTATAAGATAAGTTTCGATAACAATGAAAATCCGAGAGAATGCATATTCTATCCCTGTTTAGACATATTTTGGGGAAAAGAATATAAAAAGTGTCGCTTAAAAGAGAAACGAAAAATAAGATCAGATGATTCTTGGTCCATTGAAGAAACTATTGTTCTTTTAACTTTAATACAGGATTTAAATATTACTGAAGATGCTTATAAAAATACTGAAAAAGGTGCTGAGGATTTAAGACAAAGTCTAGCAGAAAACGGTTATTGCAGATCTAAACAGCAAATTATGAATAGATTAATTCAATTAAAAACAAATTTTCTTAATGTACATACTTCATATGCAGAAACTGAAGCTCTACAAAGATTTCCTTATTATAATTTGTATAAGAAGCTTTTTGAACGACAATTTACTCATGAAATGATGAATGAATTAAATTTTAGTACCAACGTTCAAAATAATTCAATTGAATTCATAAATTTCCATGAGAAAGCTAAAGAAAAATTCCAAAATAGTAATAAAGGTAATACATTTCTTAAATTTTATAATTTTATATCTGATAAATATATTATTTATTAGTTTATAATAATATAAGTATATTTTCAATTTATTTATAAATACATGTAGACTCTTTATTTAAATATAAGTCAATAAAATTGAAAAAGTTTAATAGTACATTTTAAAATTAAAATTTTTGTCAATAATTAATAAACCTGCAATTAATAAAAATAATTTTAGATGTAGATTGGTGTACAAAAGAAGTAAAACTTCTTCTAAACACAGTTCAAGAATTAACATCTGGATCCTATTCTAATGACAGTTTAGAAGATGAAAAATTACAAAAATTAATACATATTTTGAAGGACGCTGGTCACCAAAAAACTGCAGAACAAATAAAGTATAAATTAGTACAACTTAAAAATTTGTATTTAAAATGCAATCTTGAAGACAGTTCTGAAACAGATATTTTTGAATGCCCTTTTTACAATGAATTACATACTATTTTTCATACACCAGTTTCTGATGAAAGGTACGAATTTATTCAAAATCTTTTAACGGAAAATTTGGATCTGAATACGTCAAAATCCTCTGACCATAGTTACACAAATATTAAACTTGGCAACTCATCTAGTGAAAATACAGTGAATGTTAAAGTGACTGTTGTGCCAAATAAGTCTTTAGATACATGGTTTCCCATTGAAAATATTATTGGTAAGTTATGTGTTATTGTATAATAAAAATAAATATTCATTATTACTAAAATTAATTACTTAAAATAATTTTTTAAATTTGAATAAAATAAATGCAAAACATAATAGTAATGTAAATAATACAAATTTCTATTTAAAATAGTTTGAATGTTCAATTAATAAAATCGAAACTCTTTTTGAATATTTAATTAAATATTTATTGTATACAATAAATAATTTCTTTACTTTACTAATAAATAATTAACATAATACAAATTCAATATTTACAAATTTTTTATTCCAATTAAATAAAAAGTTTTAATAATTCATTGGTTTTAATTACACCAATTAGACAATGTAAAAGTTTATACACTTAATTATTATAAGTTTTGCAATAAAGATAATACTATAGACAAATGAATATGGTATTTTACAATTATGTTAATACTGAGGCAATATATATACAATAAAATTTCTTGAGTGAATTTCAAATACTACTTGGTAATAAAAGTCAAGTATCCTTAAAAATAAGAAAAATTATAAATAAAAATAATCCAAATCAAAAGTATTAAAAAATTTGTTTAATAATGGATATAGTCAGTTATCAGTCCACAATTGAACCAAAACGATTTAATACTAATAGTGGGGAATAGTAGAAGAAGACTGTTAAATTGAAGTATCACAACTTTAGTAAAAAAAATAGATATTACAATTGGGATGTCTGTATTTAAAATTTAATTTTTAAAGAGTTCTTAATTAAAGATCTAGAATAATTTATCTAATAATAAAACTAAATCTTATTTTGTTTTACACATTTTTTCAAACTAAATTATTTAAATAATTTCTACATATGAGATTATAAAGATTAAAAAACTATTCTGTCTAAAATATATAAACTATATTATCTAATACATATTCATTTTACTATTAGAAAAGTATAATTATATATACCCACTCAACTTTAACACTAGTTTATTTAAAATTTAGAAATTTTTTTTTAGATGAAGATAATATAACTACATCATCGCTTAAATTTAATAATTTAAGTACGGTTCATACAAAGGAACAAGAGCAGATTATTGACGACACCTTTCTCGCCATCCTTCCTAACAACAGTAATAATAAAATTGGTGATGATTGCACAATACCTGGTGAATCATTTTTTCTCAAATCAAAAAATATTGTAGTTCCAGAGGAACGTGTGCCGCAAATAATAACAAATGTTGCTCTTGATCAAGAAATAACAACTACCACTGATCAAGAGATAAAAACAGATTATTCAAAAATTTATAAATATAATGAAAGTCCTGACAAACAAGTATCTAATTTAACCATGGGGTATGTTATTAATTGGCATAATATTAGTAAACCCAGCAGCAAATAAAACAATACTTATTTAAAAAAGAATAAATGCATTTAAGAAATTGAAATCTTATTTAATAAATATATAAAAAAATTTTTTAAACAATATGCAGTTGCAGTTATACATTTAATTAACATATTAATACGTAGTTTTGCACAATATATGGTTAGTAATAATAAAAATATATTTCAAGCAAAGTTTGTTTATGTGAAGTAAAAATTTTTAACTTGTAAATATAAAACACCTTAAATTTTAAAAATTATTTTAGGAAATTATTGTATATAAATTTTAATTGTTATGGTATAAATCAATTGTCCTGTAATCACTGCAAATAATCTAAAAATATTTTGTATTACTAATTCTTACTTAGTACTTATGTAATTTTTATTTATAAGTTTTTTTTAATGTGTGATAAGTGCACCATATTTATTTTTGTAATATATTATATAATTTTGGATTATTCTCAAGTGTAATTCCAGAAATGGTTTATTGTTGTATGTGGTGGCTACGATTAGTGATTTAACATGATATGTTAAAATAAATTGGAAAAATTGAACATTTTATTTGATTAAAATCATAATTAAAATAAATGTGTAGAAGTAATAAATCTAATAATTAATTTTAATATTAATTTTTTTATTTGTTTTTTGATAGTCAAACTTTTTTACCTGATAAGAAAGAGGGACCTCCAGCTAATAAGAAATTGAAAATTATGGAAGATGAAAAGATTTTTAGTAAAAATAAATTCTTACTAAAACCTGTGGACATGAATCCTTCTTCTTTAAACATTACAAACACTAAGTTCGTTCGTTTGATTGTTGCCAATGAACCGAACAAAAATAAAGTTAATCATATTACTGCTCATATAGAACCTATGAATATTAATATGACAAACTCAATGAATTCGAGAATAAATTCACCGATCGACAGACCTGATATTTCTAAACTACCAACTGAAAAAATTTTAATAAAAGAAGAGTCAAATAGATATAAATTAGATAATAACATGGAAACGAATGTTATTAAAATAAAAAGTCATGATAGTTTGGAAAATAATTTTACAAATAAAAATTCCTATAATATTGAAAATAAAATATCTGAAACAATAAAGTAAGAATTTTAAACTATAGAACAGTTAATTAATGAAAATTATATTACTTTAACAATTTTAAATATTTAAAGAAATGAAGTAAAGATATTGAAATTTAAAAAGTTTAATATTTAATACAGGATATTAAAGTAATAAAATAAAATAAAATATAAATGATTTCAATAAAATATACATATTAATTTTATTGCTCAGATTATTTAAAAAATATCTATAAATTTTGTTTAATATAATTTTCAATATTCAGTAAACTTATCTAAATGTAAATAATAATACAGATAAAAAAATTTGAAATTGTTGAATAATATATGCAAATTATTTACTTTTTAGGGAAGCGGTACAAAAAATAAAACAGCATAATGAATTAATGCAGCAAAAACATCATGCTTGGATGGAAAAACAATTTGAAATTCAACGAAAGCATAATGAAAATGAAAAAAAAATTCTAACAAATGAATTGAAAGAACTGAGAAATATTATCACAGTACTGTTAGCGAATAAGCAGCCTTTCATGAATAGTCAGAATAGATAGATGTACATTTTAATGACAAACAAAAATACTTTTTATTGTAAGAATTGTCAAGCTTTAAAAATGTACAAAACTCAACCTGTAAATACGAAGTTTAAATTATATTTAAATTAAACTTAAAGCTTAGAAGTGCTTATAAAATATACAATTTTTACGATTTTTACTATGTAAAATTTCGTTCTTCTATTTTTCGAAAAAAATATAAAATTATGTATCTTCGTATGAAATTTAGTTTTTGATACTTTTCAGTAAATAAAGAAACAGAGTATCGTTTTTTCTTTATTTTTGTTATTGGTTATTTATAATATAGTAGAAGCGCTGCTTTCTTTTAAAATACAGGTAATCATATACTATTATAATATTTTTTTTTTAATGTTTACTTTGCCCTATTTTTTTCTTCTTAAAATAAAATGAATTTTAAGTGTGATATTTGCTAAGAATATGCAGTAGAAAATATATAAATTATAATTGTAGAAATAATAAAAAAATTAATAAAAATGAATTTTCAGATTATCTTATGTTTTTTAAATTAGATTTTTAATAGAATTAGTCTTTCAATTTTAAATGATTTTATACAGTTTTTAATTGTAATATTTCACAATATATTTATAATCTTTAATGAAAATTTTATTACATGTATTTTATCATTGATGATCGATAGGACTGAGTCAGTAAATATTTGTTAAATCAGTTGGTTTTATGACAGCAGTAGATTTGAATACAGTACAGTTAACTATGTAATAAAAGTTAAATTATTAATTATGATTTTTATCGGGTCAAATAAAAAAGTATTATTTTTATTTCTAATTTTTCTTTATTAGTATAATTTTTAAAAGTACGTCAAATTTAAATACTGTTATATTTGGGAAATGGATATTTCATCGTGAGTTATTTTAATAAGGTAATGTTTGAACAAAGATGCTTTAGTATTTTAAGTTTGTAATAGAGATTAATTAATATTATTCATATAAAGATAAAATATTTTTTATATTAGAATTAATTTTGAACACCGTGTTTAGATAAAATCATTTATTTCGAATATAAATTAAGAATATTAGTAAATTTTTGTAGGTTAAATATAAGACCATTTTTTGCAACCTTAGTTGTATAATATCAATCGTAATATGTATATAAAAACTTTTTCTTTACAGAAAAAATAGATTTTTAAAAATGCTTTATCGCTCCTATAATTTCTTCAATTTTATTCGATGTAATATACATAGCTGTCAACAAGAACAGTTTTATTTATTGCGTATAGCACTACCAAAAAGGCATACAACTACTTTTATAAAACAACAATTTGTTTATGTGATATCTAACGCTTCAAAGATTCATCATAATAAATATGGTTCAAGGCAACTATACACAGCAATCAAAAGATTGGCTTCAAATGATTTGAAAAGCAAGAATGGAAAATTAGAAAAGGTTGATCAAAATAAAAAAGACAAAACATTAAATGATGAAACTGGACAAACAATAGTTGAATTAAATGAAGAAAAATTAGGAAAATTAAAAGAACGTTTATTAAATATTGAATCAACTGATCCTATTGTTAATAATATAAAAAATTCTTGTATTAAGTTATCTCGGAAAGGAAAGACTAAGACAGATGAAAAAAATGTATCAGTCGAAGAATTAACAGTAAAAAAATGTATGTACTATAAATGTTTTTAATTAATTTTGTTTACAAATATAATTGGTCATTTTTTTCAAATATATGATTTTTTACATTTATGATATAGTTCCACCACGGAAAAAAATAAGAGTAGATCTATCAGCATCATCTTTAGAAAGAAATTTTATAACACCTGCTAGAGCAACATCTGATTTTTTGTTGAAACAGTCAGATTTGGAATCATTACCTAAAACAAAAAGAAGATCACCTTATGAATTTGAACCACCTATCACAGTTTATTGGAGAAAAGATGTTGAAGCAAAGTAAATAGGTTTTTTTAACAGAATTTTGTACTTTTACTACAAAATTTATAATAAAATATATCTATATTATTTTCAGAGCACTGGAAATTTGGGGATCTCAGGAAATATTGTATAAAGAGATATGTAAAAAAGACCTTGAAAGGAAGGCTTATCAACAAAGTAAGTACAATTTATTTATTTCATTATAATAGCATTAAAATTAAGATTTCCTTAATTTACTGTTTAAGCTGTATTTACTGTTAAGAAAAGACTAAGAGACTACAGGCGAGAGCTTGTAAGTAAATCAAGAGAACGCGATGAAGGACTGTTTGGCTCATCTGGTAAAGTTGTTTTAACAGCTATTATAATGTAAGATATATAATGAATAAAATTTATTTCCTTAATTACCCTTTAAGTAATTTTATTTATATTATTTATAGAAACGCAAGTAATTTTCTTTTTAAATTTTGTGCTTGGTGTTACACTGGCTCCCACAGCATGTTTTCTGAATGCATTCATTCAGCTGCAGATACATTTAATCAACTGATATTAGCATATGGAATATATAAATCTGTTCAAGTAAAGATTAACATTAATAAAATATATACAAATAAATATTTTAATTTTATTCTAGAATTAAAGTTTTTTAAATTTAATTTTTTTTTAATAAAATGATTACAAATTTTAGAATATTAATTTTTCCTTACTTTATTATTTATAAAAATAAATATAAGAAATAAACATATTTCGTTATATTATTTACTAAATAACAGGATATTTAAACCTATTTTTGATATAAAAATAAAAGTGGTTAATAATAATATAAAATTTATTATAGAATCCAGATTCAGATCATCCATATGGTTATACGAATATGAAGTATGTTTCGTCTCTAATATCAGGTGTTGGAATTTTCTGTGTTGGTACTGGTTTATCTATCTATCATGGAATTCATGGGATTTTATACCCGAATTCAGTGGAATCATTTTTTTGGGGATATTGCATATTAGGGGGTTCGTTAGTCTCTGAAGGAGCAACTTTATTAGTGGCCATTAATTCAATCAAGAAAGGTGCAAAAGAAAAACGAAAGAGTTTTCGAGAGTATGTACTAAATGGACATGATCCATCAGTTAATGTTGTTTTGATGGAAGACTTTGCTTCGGTAAGTTAAAATTAGTATATAACCATCAACAAGTTAACTTGTTAAGTAATATAAGTATATAAATTCAAAAGATATACAAGATAAATCTTAATATTTATATTATAAATTGTTTGTATTTTTGTCACGATGATTTGACTAAGATTGTAAATTCAAATAAGTTAATTCATACAGTAAACATACAAAAAGTATGTGTGAATTTTTAAGAAAGTAAATATAAATTAACAATTATTTACTTATTTTATTTTAAAAAGTGAATTAATTCATAAATGTTTGTTGAAAAGTTAAGGAAATTAGATACTATTTCAGTTACAGAAAAATAAATTGTATAGAATTATAAATTTTAAAAATGACTTTCCTTTTGCAAAATTTCCTAATAGTACTATTTAATTTCTGATATTTTCACATAAATCTTTTTAATAAACGTATTACTGTATTTAAAATTATTTGTTGAATTTTTGTTTTTTAAGATAATTTAAAATCTAATTATAAGTTTAAACAATAATAATTAATAATATGATATAATATAAGCAATATAAATAAAAATCTTATTGTTATTAATTAAGTCAATAATTTCCATGAATGATATAAAGTAAAATTCTAAAAAATTATATAGTTAATATCACAAAGGTCTATTAATTTTTACCTAGGTTATAGGAGTTAGTATAGCTAGTTGCTGTATGGGTTTGACATCATACACAAGCAATCCAAAATATGATGCAGTAGGTTCGCTGCTTGTTGGAGGACTTCTCGGTGCTGTAGCTTCATTTATTATTTATACAAATGTTGCTGCTTTAGTTGGTCAAAGTATACCACAAGAAAATCTAAATAAGATTAATGATGAATTAGAGTCTGATATTATGGTAATAATGTTTACTTTAACTATCAGTGGACAAAAATATCATTGCAATAGTCTCATAAAATTAATTAATATATTTAATATTATTTTATACCAACTATTTGTTTATTTGAATATATTGAGTATAACCCACAAAATAAAATAAATATAATTGTATTATATTCTACAGATCAAAAAAATTATTTTTAACATAATAATTATATATTGGTAATTATTCAATTTTAATCATTGAAAGTACATATACTTAAAATTAAACATTTTAAATAAAATATTTTATTTATATAGTAATAATTGAATTTTTTTAATTGCCAAAAATATTATATTTATTATTATTTTAATTGTGTATTTTTAAAAGTTGTAATTTTAAATATTACAGATAAGAGCAATTCATGACGTTAAAGGTATAGATATGGGTAATAGCCTTGTAAGATATAAAGCAGAACTTGATTTTGATGGTCGAGAATTGACCAGATCTTATCTAGATAAATTGGATCTTAATGCAATGCTTGAAGTAAGATATATGATATTTTTAAACTACAATGAAATCAATATTTATATAATAGTTGTAATATATTACCAGGAAATAAAAAAACTACAAGATGTTGATGAGCTTGAATCATTTTTACTTAAACATGGAGAGAATATTGTTGATTTACTTGGGGGTCAAATCGATAGAATTGAATTAAAACTGAAGGTAGATTATTTCTCGTAATTAATATTTTAATTTAATTTATAATTTTCACATTAAATGTCATATTATATTGTTATAGAAAAAATATCCAGAAATTCGACACTGCGATTTAGAAATTCTTTAAACAACTTAAATTTTAATAAAATCAATTGAATGTAAATATTTATTATTAATATTATTATTATCGCAATTTATTATGATAGAAAAATATACGTTTATTACATTATCTTATAATAATCGCTTTAATTAAATGACTTAAATAAAAATCTATATAATTATTCTCTTTATATTTTATTATTATATCTTGGATTTATAATTGTATCTTTAAAACTGTTTGATTAATTGAACATATTGTGAAATGAAATATAATCACCAATATTAATGATGGTATTAAAAATCATATATTATATTAATAATAAATAATTTATTATATTATATACATTCAACTATTTATTCAAATATTTTAATAATATAAAAGTAACAAAAATAAATATAAATAAAAAAAATTAATTTTAATAAAAACATATTTTTTTAAATTTTAATAGATATTTTATTTTAGTTAGCTATTTTTTATTAAAAAAAAAATATACATAAAATTAAGTTAAATTATTTATTAAATAAAATAAAAACTCAAAATCAAAATCAAATAAATATTGAAAAATATACAAATGGTATAGTAATATCTATTATAAAATTTAAGTAGACAAAATAAATTAATTTTATTTAAAACTTTCGAATGTTTAACATATGATTTTATCTGCTTGGTGAAAACTTCATGTAATGCATTTTACAAAAATTATATTATATTGAGAAATAATAACTTGAATGTATATTTTATTTCTGTTTGAGCAACCATTTGCCTGAAGTACGTATGTATTATTTTTCACAATTATGCATAAAGAAATATTTTTAAAAATTTACACAATAATTATAATGGATTTCTTATTTATTAATAGACTTGAATTGATAAATGAACAAATTCTTAATAATTTTCTTTGCTCCTATTTTATATAAAAATTTTATATTTAGTTGCTTTTACTAAGATAAAATTTAAATTATCTAATTAAAGAAATTATATTTTTTATATTTTTTACTTTTGTTTCTGTTTTTTTAAGAATTAATGTTTTTTTTAATAATCGTTAAAAATGATGTAAATAACTAAAATCTACTATTATTTATAATACAAGATTTATATTGCATATTAAAACAAGTGATGATTCTTATCAATGTTACAATCGACGAAACAGATGCCTTGTTAGCATGAATTGGGTAAAACGTTGTAAATGGACAAAAGAGATAAAGAAAAAAGAGTAAGTGGAACAGAGTTAACACAAAAAACGGCTAAATTTTTCTACTAGTTAATAAACATCAATGAAGAGGAATAAGAAAATAGTTACAATAAAATTAAAAGGAAAAAAGAAGTCCACTTTAGATTAAAATTGGTAATCGTTATGGTGACATTGTTAATCATAATGAGTAAAGAAACCATAGAATTGGAAAAATGTGTTGAAAGGAATATGTTTAAGAATATGAATTTAAGATAAGTTACAAGCTTTTACTAGTATGCTAAGTTCATTATTAGGTTTGGGTGTTTAGCTGACGACATATTACAGAAGCTTTTCATAATAAAGCTCGTAAAGGTATAAGTTACATTCAATCTCTATATACCTAAATATAAATACAACTTTTTCATTCCGGAAAATAATTCAATATAGTGAAATTTTACCCGAAAGAATTTTATTTCATGCACTAGCTATGTAATGTTAAAGAATTGTAAAATTTATAGTAATCTATACAAACATAAGCAGATGCCCTTGTTCATTATCATGCTGTGGCTTCTAACTACAGGAACTGTAAGAATAAAAATTAGTGTAGTTAAGTTCCTCATATTCTTAAATATTATATTTCTTATTCAATGAAAAATTTTTTTTTTAATTTCTTTTTATTATTAAAGTAATAAGTTTTACCATTTTAATTATTATATTGTTTATTAAATGTTTTTTCATAATTGTTTTTGGGTTTCTTTTAATCGAAGATTGATAAATATACTTAATAAGCTTGATAATTTTAAACAATAAAACATAAGATAAGAAGATTTACTAATATCTGCAATAAAGTTGAAATAATTATATACATTTTATAATTCAAATCAAACTTTAGATAATTACGGTTTTAAATTATTCAAGTCACTTAAAATACCTAAATTATAATTTAAAGACAACAAGTAGCTAATAAATCGCAATTAATAAATTCAAAAACATATTTTATTAAAAAAATTAAATAGTTTAATAACTTAAATAATTGCAATTGTTCTAAGCAAAAAAACTAATCTTGAAATGTTCAGTGCCAAGAAACTTATGAAAAAACTGAGTATGGGATTCTGATATAGAAAACTTTTATTCTCTGAAATAACCACTAACATTATGGGAAATAAAATAAATATGTTAATTTAATAAGTAAATTAAAATAATAAATAATACTTGGATTTGGTGTACAGTGCCGAATAAAAAAATTTAATATGAAAGAATGAATAGTTCGTTTTTATAAGAACGAATATATATCTGTAAAGATTTTAATTTTCAAATAATTATCGGCAATCGGAACTTCAAGTGACTGCAAACTGTATCGATTAAACAGGTACAACTTGTAGCTTCAAAAACAGGACTTTATCGTTAAGTATGGTAAAGGAGTATTAAATTACGTTTTAGATACAATATCTTCTGTACATAAAGAGATAAGAGGCAGTACTGGACCAGATAACGAATTGGATCAGAAAAAGAGAAATTTCAACCATCATGGGAAGTGGAAATTAAGATGATGAGAAACTCTTCTCGAGAAAACAAATTACTAAGTAATAATGTAGGCAAGAGTTAGACTGTGTAGTCTGTTCTCATTCCGTCAATATAATTAAAAAAAAAGTAACCGATAGGAGATTACATACGAATTACATAAAAATATTAAAATTTAATTGCAATAATACAATAAGTTTAAAATGTTAAAATTAATTGATACCTAATTACGATTATTAAACCATAATATAATATGCATAACAACAGTATATATATAAAATTATTTTGCTTGTAATTTTGAAGTTTTCAAAATAATATTTCTGATTGAAATCTTACATGTTATAGATAAGCTTTTATTTGATCCTTAATAAAATGCACTTTGGAAACAAAATAAAATATTTTATTATTAAATATTTATTATCTCATAAAATATGGATATCGTTTTAAAATTAAAGCATTTATATTTAATAAAAAAGTTAAGATAATATAAATATATGTATTTTTTTAAATTATAAAATCGAAAATTATGATTTAATAGTGATATTTTTCATAAATATAAAAGTATTAAGCTTAATATTAATAGTTTCACTCCACTTCCAGTATGTAAATATATTTTAAAAAGTATATCTACGCAAATATATGAATTCTCAATTGTTTATAAAATTTCTAATAAAATTATTTTTTTTTTGCATTGAAAAATATATTTTAAATATAAAAACTATTTTTTTAAACTGTTTTTTTTTTATAATAATTTGAGTTAATAATGAATGTTTAATGAAATAAAGAATTTTAAATACTTAATATTTTTATGAAAAATGTCAAATGATAAAAACAATTATTAAATTAAATTAAAATAAAAGAAATGGAAAAAGAAAGCCAACCCTCTTTTTCCATATTTATCACCATATTTTATAAAGATTGCAGCACGTATGAAATTTTATTTTATACAAACATATATATATTTTTCCTACTCAGTTACATTTATATATTTTATATTAATAAATACTTTACGTCAAATATTTTTTACTATTGCAATTAAATTGTATTACTAGATATTTCAGAGGTTAGTGTTCAATCACTACATGCAGAAATTATAAATTATAAAGTAAATTTCTGATTGTCATTTTTAATTACTCTCACATATAAATTCTTTTATTGCATAAAAGTAGTATTAATAAAAAATTGATTTTTTCTAGAAATTTATGTTATGTTTGAGATTTCACTTTATTTCATAAATATATAACTGATAAATAATTAAGCATATTGCATGGTAACAAATTACAATATTTACTGATAAATGTTTAAACGTCATATGATTCGTAGGAACAACTCAGAAGACATTATTATAAAAACTAACACATTATTTGGCATTCAAATTTTTCGTCAAATGAACTTGAAAGCAAAAGAAAATGAAGAGAAAGTGAAGTCGTATGAGTTGGATCTAAAAATCAATAATCAATTAGTTACAAAAATAATTAAAAAAATATTTTTGCATATCATGACTGATAAGAACATACTTAGATTCAATTTAGTTCTTTTTATTATACATGTTTTGAATACTTATAGAATTGAATTATTAATTACTTATTTTGAATTCTTGTACAAATCTTGATTTAATACTCCTTAATTATGCTTTATTATTTGAAATGACTCCATATCAAAGATAACAGACTTTTTATATATGATAATCAATATCAAAAAAGTATATTTAGTTTTCAAATTAATATATAATATATAAAACTATTAAAATATATTTTATCAAATATTATATTATTATTTTTATTCAACAAACTGCGTTACCGTGGTATATAATATTTAAAATTTTAATGGTTACATTATCGAATAATAAAATTGAATTTTTTGATACCTATGTATCTAAATATTTATTTATAATTTTGTATTTGATTATTTAATGTAGTAGAAAGAGTATTTTCATCATAATAAACATAAATAATCAGATACTCAAGATACCTTAATTTTACATAATTTAGATAAGTAATAAATAGTAATACATAATACTGAAATTTTATGCAGGAAATTAATATCTGATTATTGAGCACAACGATTGAATTTAGTTGTTTTTTAGTTGTTTTATTGCTTGTTACTAAATACTTATCAAAGTTAATTTTATTATAAATATATTAAATCTCTATAATTTTTTATATATTTTTCATACTAAAATGTACAATTTCAATTTATAAAAAATTAATTTTAATGAAACAGCTTACTTGTTTTATTTATAGGTATAAAGTAATAAGATAAATCCAAATGTGAAATATAAATACATATTTTGTGGATGTAAGGAATTTTGATAAAATTTATTGTTGAATAATAGAGACCATTTTTACATAGAGAAATTAAAAATAATTTTCAATTAACTTCATTATTCCATA